ACAAAGAAATATTTTCAGGATATGTATCAAATAATTCATACAGAATATGCTAACCATAAAAGGATCAGGTGAGGAATGAATGTGAAGTAAAATTCTATGGGCCTGTGACACATGGACTTGATTCAACCAATAAAACCAATGTCAAAAGGAAGTGAAAGGTACATTTTATCTATTGATGATTCTTCCAGGATAATTATTGGTCTTGCTCTTGTAGGAAGAGGGTCAGACAGCTGAGGAAATAAAAATATTGGTAACATTGAAAGAGAATCAATCTGTCAAGAAGTTGAGAAGTACTTATATGCTTAGACAATGGAGGTGAGTTTGTGAGAGCAGACCGCCAAGTTTGGTTAAATGAAAAGAAAATAAAATATGATTTGATTCCAGCCAAGATAACGCAGAACATTGGAGTTGCTGAGAGGAAGGCCATTCTACCATAACTTAATCTAAGATAAAGGAATATCAAGAATTATTAGGGAAACTCGTATTTGAATACTTATGGCTGTTCAGACATCTCATTTGCAGTAAGATGTTTGTCATAGTTGAACCCTGGTCCAAAAATAGTGTACATGAATGAATTGAAGAGGATATTAAAATATTTGCGGTTGAGTATTGTTTTGAAATTAGGAAAGGAGCAGAAGCCAATGAAATTTAATTTTTTGCAGATATATAAACTGATATATGAAGACAGACTGGAGAAGGAGGTGAGAAGGATTGTAATATGTGACAGATTGAATGCGATAAATATAGAAAATTAAATATAAGCTCTTACATAGAAAAATGTTGTTATATACGAGATATAGTAAAAATTAAGAACTTGCTAATTTATCACGTGTCGGATAAAGAAACGAATCTTGATTGTCTAACTAAAGCTCAGAGTCGTCCAAATTTGCTAAATAATGTAAAAATCTGTATGAGGATGTTAAGAGAATAAAAAGATGAAAGGAAAATGTGTTATACTTATTTATGTCATTTTATTGTTTTATTTCTCCCGCCGTATGTGTCACGTGGTTCTCGCTTCTGTAATTACGATCAGCGCCATCTATTATTTTGTACCAAATGATGAGAAAAGTGATAGGAACATAGAATGTACAAGGAGGTCGTCTACTCCTCGTCACGTGGTTAGATAAGGACAGAAGACAGATAGAAAAAGACAGAAAGGCTCCGGCAAAGAATATTAACTAATTACTCAATTCTGGCGTGCAATTTATGAACTTTTATAGCCTTATCGAAAAGCTGATACCCTGAGCAACATTCTGATTCTACTTTCGTACATAAATTGTTGTTAATTAGTGTGTTAAAAATAATTACTTGACGGCGTGGGTAATTTGATAAAAACGACGATGGTGGATGTCGACTAAAATATTTTATTATGTTCAAAACTAGAAGAAAAATATGATCGAAAGTTATATGAGAAGATGCGCAAGAATATTCTCTTTATAATGAATCCATAAAAGTGAAAAATTAATTACTTGAGAGATAGTTATTAATGAAAAACCATTGATATATTCGGCAATATTTCGACCACGCCGTGAAATAATAATTAATAATAAATTAATTAGGAAGAAATTAATATCGAAAAGTATATGTGAAAGTTCGCCAAGGATCTGGCTTTACGATGAGATTATAAAAGTTCATAAATTATTCGCAGAAATTGCGTAATTAATTAATTTTCCACTGCCAAATTGATTTATTAGAATATAATATTCGGAGCACATAACCAGAGTTAGTAATCTATTAATATGCAGTCAGTGCCATCTATGAGTTTAGACACGAACCTCAAGTTCTGTAAGACGTGCACAGATGGCGCCAGGAGTGCGTCTATAACCATATTACACGAAGGGCGGAATAAAGAAAACAATATATCGGTATATATAAATGACACACTTTCTCTTCCGTTCTTTTTATTCACTCAAGAACACCATAAAGTTTTTTTCTACATTCTTTAATAAGTTCAACCCAAGCAGTGATTTCAATTAGACAATCAGCATTCGCTTCTTTACTTGGCACATGATAACTCTGCAAGGGTACGTCCTTTCAATGCAATTATAAAAGTTCATAAATTAATCACAGAAATTCAGTAATTTGTTAATTTCTCTCTGAGTGAGCAGGAGGGTGCATGGGAAAGAAGAAGAAGATTGCAAAAAAACGGAAGAAACATTGTTGTGTCCATGGAGCTATGCCTACATCACGGTAAGGAATGTAAGCCTTTATATAAACATAACCTTCAGTTGTAAATAAATAGTGTGAGACATAAACCATTGTTTTTTCATCTTTTATTAGTGATAGCAGAACCTGGTTGTAAAGTAACAATATACTGTTGAAACAAACAGGCATGTGCAACAGGGGAAAGATATTGGATTCGTGGAATATCATCAACGTAGAGCCATTAGATGCCAATAATTATTTTTTGCGGTAAAAAAAAAATGAAGCAGTAATAGAAATATGTAAGGTACGATATGTCTGTTGGTTTCTAGGTCGGCGAACTGAATGACAAGACAGCAATATTTCATGATTAAGTCAAAAGGGAATAAAAGTAATTTAGATTATGGCCTCCTATAACAAGATGTACAGAATACAGTGAGATTGAAAGGTATGTTATATTTTTGTACTGAATGAATATTAATATCAGTGGTTGAAATCATTGATCAATGCTAATGTGTTAAGTTTCAGAATAATGGTGCTGTGGTAGATAGAGACAAGAGAGAAGTTCGAATGAAAGCAGTTAGAAGAGGAAATGCATATTATAATTGGTTTCGAGCGTGCGTTCTCGAATAATAGTGTGGGAAGTTTCGGTGGCTGTCAGCTCGTACTGCGCAATTTACTTTCTTGGTTTCGATTTCCGAAAGGAGGCTTTTTGATTCGGATTTGTCTATTTCTCAATGTAGAATGATGTCTTCCTTAACGAGATTGATTACTTTTTCTCAGCTTCGAGCGTGCGTGTTCGAAAAATAGTCCCGAAAGTGTTAGTGGCTGTGAATTCGTGCAGATCCCGGCAGACAAAAAGGGATAATATTAATTTAGTTGATGGCTTGTTATAACAACCAGCTATTGAGAATACTGTGAGATTGAAGGGTATGTTGTTTTCCTAATCTGAATAAATATTAATATTAGTGGTCCAAATCAACGATCATCTCTAATGTGTCAAGTTTCAGAATGATGGAGCTGCGGTATATAAAAAAAAGAGAAAAGTTAGAATGTAAGCTGCGAGAAGAGGAAGTGCACATTATGTGGAATCAAGATACAGAAAAGGGACAGCGCATTTATGAACAAAGATAGATGGCATTGACATGCAAATATACGGATCATTGCAGAGATAGCGAATGAAGAATTGGTAATAGTTCTGAATGGTAAGGATAAATTGAATATAGATTGTGAATTTTGCTTTAAGCCAAAAATCTGTAGAAATACGCATAGGAGCTTGGAATCTACAAAAACTGTTAAGGGTATATTATATATTAAGGGTATATTGTGTCTATTTATTAACTGGATTCGTTTTCTGCATTATATTTTGCTGTTGTTTAAGACATGTTTTTACGTGATATTAAGGCTTGCATCATTGGTTATAATTATGTTATATGCATGTTATATGTTAGTTGGATTGGTGGCTTTCTAATCATTCGTAGTTACGGCACTAAGCGACGGTAAAACCTCGTATTGACGTTACCGACGTTTATTTTCTCGATCTGAAATCCAATTTTAAATTGTTTCCACAATTCTTTTCCTTGTTTTTTCTTTAGAAAAGCATACAAAATACACTACTGTTTAGTAAATTTGTATCAGAGGAATTACATTTTATAGAAATGCAAGAATATGCGTAGAAAGTACGTTCGTAGGCTTATTTTTAAACTTTGATGACAATGGATATTACAAATTAAAATTCGTATTGAGCAGAATATTTAATTTTGTCGCAAACAATGGAAATCGAGAATAAAAAATTTGGAAAGTGAATAGAAAAAAAATAAAAAATAAAATATAAGAGTCGATAAAAAAATTAAATCTCTCTACAACTGCAAAAACTGTACATCAGAACCAAGGTAAGGTTCTCAAGAAATGATGAAAATTAAAATATACTGTAATATTAAGAGAAAAATGAAGTAACCCACGGTATACAGAAATTAACGGAGAGGACAACGCTGAAATTCTTATCTAAAAATATAGAGATTGTAAAATTGAATGGAAACGAAAATTTGAAAAAGGATATTGAAATATCCCGAAAAATGAGACGGTCTCCAGCGATATTCTAAATGAGTGATACACACTGGAGGGTACTAAAAATGCTCGGGTCTGCAACGAAAGAAGCAAAAGTCAAATTCTGTGGCAAATAGGTTGTCACGCAATTTTTCTCGTGAAAAGTAATGCGGCCGGTGTCGAATTTCAGAGAGCTTGTTGCTGTCGCAACATCCTGTCTCTCTTCCTCTCTGCCCCTCTCTTCGATACAGTTCCTTCACGGCTTTTCCTAGGTGACAGTGTTCTATGTCGAGGCTGCATCGGTTAGCTGGTGAATGAAGCTGCCATTTGACTTGGATAGACGCGTATTAATAACTTCGTGGCACCGTTGCGGTTCCGACGATATTTTGGCAACGCGCAAACCAATTTGCTGAAATGCGCGGTTGGCAAATAAAAATCGTCCGTTTGCGAGAGATCGGCATCGACTAGAATTATCCGAGAATATTTCACGCTGTTCAACGTTCTGGAATTCGTGTTCGTTAAAATCGAGTAAAATCGAACCGCGACGCTGGATTACTGGCGAATATTTTCGGCATTTCGCAAGAGGCGTGGCGTTCGAGATAAATGTGCTTGGCCTGTCCACGTGGAGGAGATTGAAATTGGGTAGGTGAGTGGTATACTTCGTAAAAGTTTGCGTTGTTGCGAGCAGATATTCGGATTTGACGTCTACGCGTAGGGTGACGAGAAATAAAATGTGACAAAGCGATGAGCGATGACAGAGGGAAAATTTTAGTCGAAGATGGAAGAAATAAATGGAGAAGATTATAAGTTAATTAAAAAAAAAATTTGTTAACGGAGATCGTGGAGAATGAAGTAGTCGCGATTAGATATAGGTGCTTACCGATCTCTAGCCGAGCACTGCAAATCGCCTTGCCAGCAGCGTTCTCCGCCACGCAGGAAATCGTGCCGACATGCGTGCTTCCGGTCTCTGGGATCGTCAGCACTTGTCGATCCCCGCTGACCGATACCAAGAAATCTTTGCCATGAACTGGGCGATCGTTAAACAGCCATTGGATCTGAAAGTCGTAAAATCCAATTACTCGAATATATTTCGATTACATTTCACTGAAAACGTATTAAATTGTGTAATTAAGGATAACGAAAAATAGTTAAATGTAACGCGATCATATGATAATATCGATCACCGTGAAATCATCTATTTGAATGAACGAAGATCAACGTAAATACTTGGATGATAAGGCGAACATTTCTAGCAAGATCGATGTCTGAAAGAAATCTATTTCCAGAGAGTAGAACGCGATCACCTACTCCAAATCGATTGCATCACAAAATTCTGAAATATATACTACTCTTACGATACTCGATCCACGAATGACATAGAAAATTCCACGAAATGTGCTGAACAAACAAACCAGTTTCTACGGCTTCGATTGCGCGTACTACTTGATGGATCGTGTCACGAAATCCTGTCAACTAAACAAGCCGTGTACACATACGTTTACATCTAAGATAATACTACTACCACGGCGAATTCGTCGAAATATTTTCCATACTGGAACAAAAGAAACTTTTCGTTCTAGAACCGTTTATCGTGGATTAAACCGTGGATCGTGCTTCTCACGAAATTCACTGAAAATCCAAGGAAAATCCCATGAAAATCCAAGGAAAGTCCAATGAGAATCCAATAGGAACCAATTGAAAATCCAAGGAAAATCCAATGAAAATCGAAGAAAAGTGCCAGGTGCAAAGGTGAATGGTTGACGAACGGAGTGATATCGATACCTGATCCGCGAATGTCACTGAGAATTTCGTGGAGAACCTCGCGGCGCGACTGCATCCGCGAATTTCCACATCAGGTACATTGTTCCCGTTTAAATATAACCCAGAGGCACGAAATTACTCTTGGTCGGCCACCTCCTGACAGGCTGGCCAACTCTGTGCCCCATCTTTTACGCATCCCTCGACACCTTCGAAAATCGAGATCCGGCGCCGTGATTCGAGACGCGGCTATTTGCTTGATTTACTCTCGTCGATCACTAGAAACGAATGTTTCGCAACGTGCTGTCTGATGACGACAGTTACGCGTATTTCGAAAGTTACGATGTCTTTTTTTTTTTGTATTTTCTAACGCGTTTCTTTGAGGTATAGCGTTGGATATTTGTTTAGGAAGCTTGCACAATTTTTGGTAATATTTAAGGATATTTTATGATTTTTCTTTTTTTTTCTTTCAAGTAGATTCTTTGAGGTTGTAATTTTAGTAATTTAAGTAGATATTAACGTTTAAGTTATTAATGCTACTGAATTGTTTTCTGTATCACGAGGTTCAGTTCTCTCATCTTCTATCTCGTTATTATATTTTTTAACACAGAATTTTGTATAAAATTTTATTTAATTTAGAATGAAAATATGAAGAAACGCGTATAATAGAATACAAAACTCGGAATAATTTTTATAGCGACTTGTATGACATGGTCCACACAGATCGAAGTCTCTAAGACAGGCTGTTAATTATATCCATTACAGATTTGGCTCTAAAGATTCGACAGAAAAATTATTTGCACGTCGATTATTTATTATTTCGATTAGTACTTATGATTTAAATTGAAAAAATATTACTTACCTTTGGAGACGGTTTTCCAACCACGATGCACTCGAATTTCGTAGAAACACCGTCCATTACTCGCCTATCCTCGAACCTCTCCTTAAATGTAGGGGCAATCAGTTTTTCCTCCATCTGCACGAATTCTTCCTTTCTTCTGAAGTCACCCAATGATCTCACGACCAATCGAGCAAATGCTTTTGCTTCGCCATGAGCGTTGAACGCTTTGACCACGTAATTTCCTTTATCTTCTGGAATCGCAGCGGAAATCCTTAAAATGCTCGTTCCATCTTCCCTCCGCTGGATCTGAATTATATCAATGAAATTTTAACGCGTGGCAGCAGTCAATTTAACGTCAAACTTTGTTCCGAAAAGAAGGACTGTAGTCCGAAGGAAAATAAACTCGACAGCGGAAAATAGCTTTCTTCCAGGAACGAGACGGTCGAATCTTTTTCAAAGACTGCTGTCTTGTATATATATTTTACTCTTTATTACCCTTTGCAACCGGATCTTCAAAAACAAATTGTAACGAAGCGTGATTGAACTTTCGGAAGCTCAGTTTCGCCGTTTAATTTTCGAAGAGCTTACTTGGTGGATCAGGGTGCACAAATTTTATTTTATTGAATACTCACCAGAATACGATCGTTCCCAGTGATCTCGCCGCTGTCGGAGAACCATCTCAGTTCCGGTTTGGGTTCTCCGACCACTGCGCAGTCGAAAATGGCGGTCTCACCCTCAGCTACCAGAGAATCTGTTGGAAGTTTGACGAATTTCGGTGGGGATCCTGCGACAAATGTCTCCTCGATTTCCGGTCGTGTGGTGTTTAATTTTTCGGAAACGGTAACCGCTGAAATGGAAACATTTTATCCTTATTTTCATGGAAATTGAAAGTGAATAGAAATACAAACGTGGATTGTATTATTAAAGAATCACAGAATGAAATTTTGGGCAGCGTAGTGAAAGCAAGGAAAAATATATCGGAGGAAAACTGTAGTAGATAAACCTGCAAAAATTGGTTTGATATATGGAGTAAATATATTCTAAATATATTCGTATTATATGAAATAATAACGTTACGGTGTATTGTCTAAACTAACAAATTTTATAGAATGTAAAATACAAATTAAATATTTTTACATACGTGTCACTGTTAAGGTGCACTGACTAGACGCTTCGCCGCCAGAATTAATGGCGACTACTTTATATACACCGGCGTCGTCTAAGAAAGCCTCGTGAATGACCAAAGAACACTTATCGCCCTGGAACAGCAGCTGGAAATCGGCTGATTCCTTCACAGGTTGGTCGTCGTGGTACCAAATCACCTGTGCCAACAAATTTATGAATTTTCTGTTATAACAAAGCGCAAAAGAATTGTGAAATAATAAGTTCATGTAGAAGTTCATAAAAAAAGAATGAGAAATGTACAAAATTCACCTCGCGTTAAAAGTATTTAATAATTTTAACTTCAAGTATTTAATAAATTATCATATCAAATAATAAATTAATATATTAAATACTTAAGTTATTAAACCATCATACCAAAATACTTCGATATTGAAACACCAAACGTCTGTACTACTCTAATCATTCCTCATCGACATCCAATAGACATCACTATACCTTTGAATATTCCACTAATTTCAAAATATTCTTTCATATTTAAACATCATGCTATAAACCAGCACCTGTACTCTACTATTCCAACCATTCCCAATCGACATACAATAAAAATCAGGAAACCCTTCGAATTTCGAGTACTCCATCAATCTCACAAAACACTCACTTCCGGCTCAGGTTGCCCAACGATTACGCAGTCCAGTCGAACAGACAGACCCTCCTGAACCTTCAGGTCCTTCAGAGGCATCTGAATTTTCGGGACTACGGGTTCCATGTCGCTGCTGGCGAATTCTGAATCGCTGGTCTCGTGCGGAAGTCGTCCCTTCACCGATACGTTACAGGACACCGTGGCCTCACCGGCGTCGTTTTTAGCAGCCACTGTGTAACATCCGGCATCCTTCGCGAACGCCTCCGAGATTATCAAACTGGTCCGGCCGGCGTCCGTTTGTATCTGAAACGGCGAACCCCGACACCCTGAGCACCTCGTTTCAATTCTTCCTTTTCATTTTCTTTGCCACGTTGCTTTATTTCGAATTCGGCGCGTGCACTGCTAAAAATATCGCGACACGGTCGCCTCGTCTCGATTTGGAGACCGTGGAAGCGAGAGAAGACGAGGAAGTTTTCGTTTTCGAAATTATACTTCGTTGTATCGGGAGTGTCTCGATGTGGTCAGTTGGATTGGAGATTGGTATGCTTGTCTGTGATATTTTTGGTTCGCTTTCTATATATAATTCGGAGGATTTTTGCTCCAAGTATAAAGTATTTTGTTGAGAATATAACTCCGTGAGAAGAAATATGTTATAAATATAAAAGCAAATTTTTAGAAAACGTATTTAAAATTAATACAATTGATAGGAAATTATATAGTATGAAATAATTTTATACTATAATAAAGTTTAATTTGTATCAAGATATATCTTGAACAGAAAACTCTTATTTCTCGTTGGTTTACTATTCCCAAGTATTTTTTTTTTTTTTTTCAATATTAAGGGAATATAATATTTTACCTTCAAATTCATGGTTTCTTCAATGGCTCTTCCATCATGGTACCAAGTTAAAGTAGGCATTGGACTTCCCTTTGCTTCGCATTCGAGTTTCACCCTTTGCCCTGCTCTTCCCATGGCATTCGAGAGGGGTGTCACGAAATATGGTTTCTCCGAAGTAAATTCTGCAGCTGGAAAATAAACAACATCGTAAAACGTTGAATTTTCATTTAGATGAATTTTTATCGAGTTGTAATTTAGTACGTTTAACGTTGAGAAAAGCGGAAGTGGAGGCTTGACCCAATCGATTTACAGCTTTGCAAGTATAAGTAGCTTTATCTTCTAGGAAGACCTCTTCGAATTTTAAAACAGCCTCGCCGTTATTATAAGTGATGATGTAATCGGGAGAATTATCGATGTTCACGTCGTTCTTAAACCATTGGACAGTTGGCAAGGGATTGCCTTCGACTATGCAATCCATTCTATAGGAAGAACCTTCCGACGCCACTGAAGGCACCAATTCTTTTATGAAAACTGGTGGATTCGGCTGCTCTTCCGGTGCAGTTTCTAGAAATTAAATAAAATATATAATGAGCTATATGCAAGTTACATTTTAAGGACTTTGTAATATAAAAATTACAAGGAAAAATTAACAATGAATTCTGAAATAAAATAAATTAATTATACGTACATTTGACGATAATTAAGCAATTATTGAAAATATTAGAAGGAATAGTGTAACTATCTGTTCGTATAATATTTTTGATATTTGTTAATATCCATTTTTACTGAATATTAGATAATTCTATATTGAATAATTAAATAATTAAAGCTACCTTTAACGGTTAACGTAGCAGACGTCTCCGCCGACCCAGCGATGTTAAAAGCTCTGCAAGTGTACTTGGCAGAATCTTCAGCAAAGGTTTCTTCAATCGTCAGAGTGCAAATGCCATGAACGTACGTGGTTAAGTAATCAGGGTTGTTCAAGATCGAGATTCCATCCTTGAACCAAACTATTTCCGGCGTCGGTTGACCAATGAGGTTGCACTGGAAGGTGAACTTTTCTCCTTCCTGCACTGTGGCATCGTGTAAAGGAAGAGTAAATTCTGGAGCCAATGGTGGAACTTCCTCTTTGTACATTCTTTCCACCGATTTTTCACGAGTTTCCTCGGTTACAATCTTCTTCTGTGGACTAGGCTCGCGTTCACTCGCTGGTACTGTTTTCTCGATTTCCGTCTAAAATTCCAATTCAATTTTTAGAAACCAAATATTTAAAATTCAATTTTTAGAATTCGTATGACATTTTAATGTTCTGCCAGCATTTCTGTAATGCATTCTTAATCAAGTGAAAGAATATATAGGATATATCATTTATATTAATTTATATTAACAATTGGGCCAAGAGTTTCTCTGTTCCAATTTAATTTGTAAAAAGGTCGTAGAAGAAAATTCTATACTACTTTTGAATAAAATTAAATCACTTTTGTGCGTATACATTGATTCCTCGAGTTAGTCTGCAAATGTAAACCATGAAGTAAAGTTGTTCATCATTTCATAACATTTTCATCAAAATCGATGGAAAATAAATAAAAATTCCTATATCTAATGAAACTTTCGAAGTTAATTATATCGAATAAACATTTCTATTCATAAACGTTCACGGTTTATTTTTACAATGGTTATTTCATCTTTGACCGAAAAGGAAACACGATTAGTCTCGATTACGTGACTCACGTATCTCGGCATATCACGTAGTAAATCGAGAATATATTTTCCTTCTAGACTTCTTAGAAAAATAAATCAGCCACTAGTTATCCACTCTACAAATCGTATCGACGATTAAAATTCTTCGACTAAGGACAAGAGGAATATTTATTGTTACCTTCTGTAAGATGTGTATCTCTTTAGTAATGGTAGCGGAAGTGACCATTTCTTTCACGAAGCTTTCATCCGTGGATTCGATCTTCTCGGTCTGTGCAGATACTGAAAATGACTGAGGAGCAGAGATTTTTTGAGTCTTCCTTTCTTCCTTCAATTTCTTTGCCTCGATGGTCGCTTTTTCTAACGTCTCAGCTGCTAATTTCTCCGCGATCTTCTTCGCGTTCTCAGCTTCCTCTCTGGCTGCTTCTGCGGCAGCCATTTCGACTTTGGCGGCTTGTAACTTTTCATCCGCTTCTCGTTTCTCGATTCTCAATTTCTCCTGCAAATCTTCGGCGTTCTTGAGATTCTCGGCCAATGTCCGAAGCTCTGATGAGACGACGGCGAAGGAGTCCAACATTTGACGATTTTCGACAACGACTTCGTTGAACTGTGGTAATCTCTCTGTATCTAAAGAACATATTTTGATAAAATGTCGTAGATGTCAGATAAAATATGAAATAAAAATGAAACCTTCGCATTGTAATATTTGCTTATATCTAATGAAAATATTTTGATAAAATTTTATACATAAAATAAAATTCTTTATATTATAATGTTTATTTGGTATTAATAGTCTTTTAGAATTTGATAATTGTTTCGCCTAAAGATTTCTATTTCGAATTACGAATTTGATTTAAATAAAAATGGTGTTACTCACCGAATACTATCGTCGATAGTTCCTTCAATTTTTCGATTCTCCTTTCTTGTATTTCTTCGCCTGGTTTTAGGTAGTTGTCAATTTCTTGAAGTAACTCCATCGCGTCTTTTGGCAGCTTCACAGTAGTTGCTTTCCTTGCTATCACCACCAACAGTTTACTACCCTCTCTATTCCACTCCTTAGCTTCTTCAAGAAGTATGAAGTATTCTATGCTCAAATTTATCTTCTTCTTCATATCTTCGACTTTTCTCTTTAAATTTCTCCATCTTTCTTTCAACGAAGAAATATCGTTTACGATTTGAGGCGTCGAAATTCTGATCGATTCTTCCGTCATCTTGATGAAAGTCTCGATTCTTTCCTCCAAAATCTATAAACGAAAAATTTAACATCACTTCGTTACTTGCATAATACACGATCAATATTCACCGTACTTAATTTGTCCTAATTTTTCTTAATTAATTCTAAGCAATATTTTCATATTACTTTCTGCTTACCATCTCCACGTGGTTTCCTATGTTAAGCGTAAAAAGAATTTTTTTCACCTTTGTTAATCGCTGCTTTAATATACACAATAGCGAGAAGTGCAATATATTTCAAGAATATTTATTTTTTACTTAGTCACAAAAAATATGCATAAAATTTATAAAATTATAAAATTATTCATGAAAACAGTTCTTACCGCGACTGTTTTCTCGAATTGTACAAAGGATGATGCTACGGCTCTGGCTGCCTGAAGATTCTCACCAATCTTCGCATCCACCTTTTTAAGGTGTTCGTTCAAATCGTGTAACTCGATGTCAATTCTCTCTAGATCCTCGGCAAACGTGCAAGTTCGTCGATATTCCTCGATTTTAGTACTCGTTCGAGACCAGAAAACTTCGAAGTCATTCATCAACGATTCCAAGGCGTATTTCAATTTCTCGATATCCTGGACACCGGCATCTGGTGGCTCCTGTTGCTTGATTCTGGCAATAGTTTCTTGCACTTTCAACCTGATCTGATTATGCCTGTCAGAAATAGACCATCTCAACGCATCGAGCTCGCCGAATAGAGTTACCACTTCGAATAATTTTTTCAGGGATGTTACGCGTTCCGCTTGGATCTTCAGCTGCTCGGTTTTGTACTCGACCTTGCATAGAATCGTGAAATTGATCGTGAAATGGAAATTGTGGGTGGATCATGATTAAATATAACACGTTAAATATACCTCTTCGATATTCTGGAAGATGGAGATGAGCGATTCGAGGAGGATTTCGTAATCTCTGGCAGTCGTACGAAGGTTCTCGTGCATCTGACGGAGCCTCTTGAGTATCTCTTCCTCGATTTGCACTTCACCTGATTGAAAATTTTATCAGAAATTTCACAGAATTCAAAATATCATGTTATATTTAAATTTAGTATCGTTTCATTCTCCATTTCTAATTTATTCTTTAATTTTCAATTGATTTTCTTTTATTTGAACTACTTCTTGATTACCTTTTTGGGCCAGAGTATCGATTCCTTTGATTCTGGAATCTAATTCACTAACAGCTTTGTTCAGCTCAGGGAGTATACGATGTTTAGATCCGCTTAAATCTTGAAGAATACTTGCTGTTTGATAGGATTGAGACGTGATCACAGGGTACAGCTGTTCGCTAAATTTCGAAACCCATTCCATGGTCTGGTGAAATCGATAAATATGAATTTGTAATCGTGGAAACGTAAATTTTATTTTTTAGTGGAAAAAATGACAAAGGGGGAAACTTACTCTCGTACTTTCCTCGATTTTTCGTTCATGTTCGATTCGTTTTTTCCTTAAAATCTCGATCGTGGTCCGCCATTTCTCCCACGTTTCTGTCACGATCAACTGTCTGTTGGCAAACTTCTCTAAGAGCGTTTTGACGCATATGCAGGCTCTGGGTACGTCTAAATAAGGATCATCGATCTGAAAAATATTTATATTTGTATTAATATTTTAAAAAAAAATTGTAAATTAGGTGAAGTACGATTAAATTATAAATATTTTTTATATAATTTTGCCAATGCCTATTTCTACTATTCACAATATTTTTAATAAAAATTCTGACCTTTTTCTATTAAAAATTATTAAGAAATGTAGAAAGGAATTCCAAAGTCACGGAATTCTAATAGCCACCGAAAGGTGTAAATAATGCTTAATTAATACAGAGAGTAATGACATTTTCTCTCTCACCTTAAGAGCTGCATTCAAGAACGCCTCTCCAGTGTTATTTAACTTCACGTAAAGCGGCTGTAGATCTCTCCAGCGTCTTCCAAGTTGGTCAATCTTCCCCTCGTCCAAAACATCGGCTTGCCTCTTCAAATCACTTTCGATCGACTCGATTTCTCTCGTCAGTTCCTCGACAACCAAGTGGAATTGCAGATAAAGCGAACCCAAATCAATTCTGTTTGCCACCAGGTCCTTCGTCTTCGTCCACGAATTTTTCAGTTCCTCCACCTTCGACTGTAATTCCAATTTCTGAGCTTCCTCGAGCCGTTCCCTGATCGGTAGAATCTCGAATTCCAGGTGCTCGACTTCGTCGGTTCTCCGTTCGAGATCGTTTAACAGTTGACGATGCAATCGACAGAAATCTTCTGCCATTGGAACGTCGCTGCCCATGTCCTGGTGACCCTGAAGAAATGCTTCAGGTATGCTCATTAACCACTTTCTCAGCTCGTCGTGCTTGTCTAAGAACGTATTTATGATCCTCGATATCTCGAGATTCTCCTTCTCGTGCGCTGTGCATCGTTCCATCAGTCGGATCTTCCGGTTCTCCAGCTCCTCCACTACTCGTTTCACACCCTGAGGAATCGAGGAATCTAAGCTTGGTATTCGATAATCGAGAAGGTACAGGATAATTTTAGCGTTATTTATACGAAAGCAAAACTGGAGACCGAGTTCTTAGAAATGGTTCGATTGTAAATTTACGTTGGATGATCTTGAAATTGAAATGCAATTTTATGACGAAACCTTTGGAAATGGTAAATAATTCGATTGATAATATTTTCATTCAGACTTTAGGAGGAATATTCTGGGATTTTAACTGTAGGAATACAAAAATAAATAGAACTCGAAGATGCAGAGGCATCGTCTGGAAATCATTCATACAGGATTTCATTGACTATGCATGCAGCGGGTATGTAATTAAGTGTCGCGATTAATCTCTTGATCTGACCTCAGCCCCGGGCGCTCCTCTTCCTGTGACATCCAAGAGGGCGTATCCTTCCGCCAAAGGTTTCGCGGTGACGTCTTCGATGGTGGCGACGGTCTGAGCATGGAAACGAGCTAATCTCGTCGAATATGGGGGGTGCTCCGTTGTTACCAGCTGAATCTCTAGTTGATCTAACTTTGTAATTGCCTTTGAAACAACAATCACGGTTCAACGTCCTCATTTTCTACACGAATATTCTCGTAATAACACAAACGATATACTCTGTAGCTATATGATCACTAGCAAACTACAAATGATGCGTAAGCACTAGAAATATGTTGAGTGAAAAAATTATTTTCTGTATCAATTTTAATTTTTTCTTCAATGAAACACAGAATATGAATGTGAAGTAGAACAAGTGTAAGAGGTCAATGCTCACCGATCTCGCCGAATCGAAGAAGGCCACCGCTCTATTCAACAACGACTCATACTGATCCAAATCGTTGACATAATCAGCCGCGGCGCCAAGGATCGCATATGCTTGTTCTGTCGCCTGTTCACCGGCAAAGTGCCCCGATGACACTAATCGTTCGGTCGACTTCGTTATTTTGATCGATCTGTCTTGAAACTCCTAAACGTTCCACAGACGAGGTCTTTTTATAAGTTTTTCCTTCAAGTGACTCACTCACTTTCAAATTTAACTTGATTTACACGACAACTTACGAGGAACTTACCAATTTTAAACCTGACATTTATCCAGACAATTTCATAATAAAATTTGTGAAGAATAGTTATATTAACGATTCGCGTCGTGAAGTAATTTGTAATAAAATTAATTTGTTTTAAATATCATAGGGAATAATCTTGGCTATAATTAGGAAGATAATTTAGTAATTTTTGAAATACCTTTGCTTCGGCTTGTAGTTTCTTCAGTTCGAACAGGAGCAATTCCGCGCTCGATGCAGAATCTCCCAGTTGATCGCAGCTGCTCGAGAGGGCAGCGATTCTGTCGTTCAGGATCTCCTCGAGATCACGTAGATCGGTCGCTAACAGAGCTAAAGCCAGGCATTGCTCCAACTGTGTCTTTCTGCTACGAAACGACGCTTCAATCAGCCGTCTTCTATCATGTAGTTCTTCCAACCATTTTTCAACCTTCAACACGGCTATAAATGAAATACCGAAAATAATTTTTCTTACAACATATAACAGTCTCGAAAAAAAATATTATCGAAACATCCCACGTAGTATCCCCTTAAAACCCGTCTTTTTTAATAAACAGAATAATAATTTTGAAATAATAAATTTTAAAATAACAACGTTCCAACCTTACAGATCGATAAAAATCAACAGAGAATTTTAAAAAATAACTTCTACAATAAAAGATATTCGACGATAACGATTCATAATAAAGAATTTCAAAAATTCGGAAAGAGGTATTTTTGAAGCAAGTTCTATTTTTGAAACAAAGCTGAGGATCATGAGGACGTTAATGAGCGTTATCTAAAAAGGGAAGTTGGATCATGGTAAGATAAGTGGTCGATCCAATCTCGAGAACTCGTTATCTGCCTCGCATACCAAAACGGAGCGAAAGGAACACATCAGTTATGTCATCGATTAAAAGCGAAAGGGAGCGCGCGAAGAAAACAGTGACATTGGATATAACGAGTCGTTTTTCCAGCGGAAACATTAATTACGACCGCTCACCGTGATCAGCTTCGAGCTTAATTCTGTCCGGTCTGGAATCCAAGGTGCCTTCGTTCGAGATCTCCTTCAGCCGGTCCAATAAATTTTTTCCCTCTTGTAGCGCTCCCATCAGCGCCTCCAGCATGTTCTTGCGAAGATCATGGATTTTCGACAAGAAGTTCTTCACCGCCTCGATCTCGATCGGCAGCAACGTGTCGTTGCAAGCCATTTCGAGGGCTCTCATGCTTTCTCGACACTCTTCTGCTCGACTGTACATTCGTAAGAATATTTTTTCATTTTATTTCATTTTTGACCTACTTCATACAATGGGATTTTGAAATTTGGGAACTGAAACTACGAAATAACATTGGTATACAAATATTTATCGTTCTTGCGCAATTTAATATATTTATGTTATAATGAAAATGTGTGTGTTTATTATTGTCTTACAACAGACAAAAAATCAAAAAATAGATTAGAATTATAATGTGATTATAATTATAGCAGATACTGATTACGCTTCGTTTTACAGTCTTGAACACGCTGGTAAAAGATATGTAAAATGAGAAACGTTTACGTGATAATAAGCACACATATATTTAAAAAAGAAAGTGTAGAATCTTGTAACAGGGTTAACATGGATTATAATTGAAAAAAAAGATAGAAAAGTTACTGATTATTAACATATTATCAAAGTTATAATCGATCATCACAAACTAGATATTTTATTATTCTAATTTTATTTTATTTTATTTCACAAACTGGTAACGAACGCGTCAATGAATATCATTAATAAATATAAGTTAATATAGAATATCTATTAGATATTTAATATGTAAAGTGTTTCACTATTTTATGTTCATATATTATATGACTCGTTCACAGCTTAAAGTGATTAACTCAATTTTTTTAATTATACAAATTTTTAAATTTTAATTGCACTTGATTGGCGTCCAACACTTAGTGTCCAACTAAAATAAATTTCTATTTTTTATTTTATGGAGTTAATCGTCGATTTGACAAGTGATTGACTCAGATATTTTCCAAGAAGTTTAGTTAATTATTAAGGGAATGTTAATATAGTTCATTAAACTTTTACGAACCATTGAAACAACACGTTGGAGTCGAGGATCTGTTTTCGACGTTCCAAAAGCTCGTTCACGTCACGCCAAGCTTGGCCCAGAGTTTCCGCCATGGCGGCGTACACTTCCGCTCTTGGCCTTTGGTTCGAGATCAACTGATCAGCCTGTCGGAGCAATTCCTCCACCGGGCTCTGTTTGCTCTTGTGTCGAAAATTGGAAAGAATATTTATTTTACATCATCTCGCGTAATCATTATATACCTTTCGATCTTTATGGAATTTTGCTTTACCAGTTAACACCATTGAATATTTATATACTAAAAGAGTCATTGCAAAGTAACCCACCCTGTATATAACTTCCAAAGAGGAAAATAGTAGGATTCCTTCATATAGATTATTAAAACGAAAAAATAAGATCAGCGAAGAATATTAAAAAGAAATATTAAAAAGAAATATTAAAAAGTTATAATTAAAAATTTCTGTAATAGACAATTTCGTTAAATTTCCCTTCGCCGTTTATTGCCGTGCTATATCGATAGCGAATTCTACATTAATTAACGGAATGAAGATAAAAATACAGGAAATACAACAAATGAGCAAAGGAATTTTGCTACTTCGTAAAATCTACTTCATTTACCTGCAATCGAAGCAGAACTTCGTCGTGTGCATTCGAGAGCTCGGTAGCTTCCTCCACCGTGGCACCGAGCTTCGTTAGTTCTGGTTGAACCTCCAGAACCTTCAATCTCAGCCATTCCCCGCTCTAAATGAGGGACAAACAGAACGAAAAGAAGCAGAATGTTCGTTAGTGCGTTTCGATAATAAGGAACGCATACGGTCCGTGCGTGCAATAATATTTGCTAGCAATTCGCCGCCGTAAAACTCCTATAAGGCAACGATCATACCCCAACGACGCGCAATAGTAAACGAGTCGTCATTGCCATTTTAGGAAATCTCATACGAGATCATCTGAAAACGGGCTAGTTGTCGGATCAAGTCGGAAAATGGGAACGAGCATTTCATTGAGCTCTAGAACGACCTCGTTCGAACACCATGAGAATCGGACCAAATTCTTTTTCACCATCTATCATCGGTATCTATACTATTTACTTTATATATTCCAAGGATAATTCATTATGCTCTTACATCGTGAATTATACATTTCATCTTTTAAACAGAAATTTAATTATCATTTCGTTAAGGGATGTATCGTGCTGAAAATATGGCCAAGGTAAAGTTGACGAATGATCATATAAATTATCGAAATATTTCAATTCGATCACTTAATTAGAATCATAAATAATCCATTTTTCAAATTCTTTTGGCAAATTTATCTTTCCCAAATTTCTGCACAAACGTCGATCTTTATGCAAGCTACGTATATTCCTGAAAATACGCAGGAATAAAATTAACCGACAACAAAGTGCGAGGAAAGCTCCGAAACGATTTACATCACATCACGCTCGTCCACGGCCCAGGAAATCTTCCTTTTGTTCCCTCGATCTATTTCAAATCGCTCTCAAGACGAAACGTAAACGAGCATCCAGAAACCATCCCGTTGACGTTTGTTTATCCAACGTGCTGAAATACCGTCGACCCAATTTTTCCGTTCCGAGATCCTCAAGCTAGCGAGCGAGAGAAGATCGATCTTCTCTACCGATCCTCGGTGATCGTAAAATCTGCGCTCGCGATCATGAAAATAGCCGACAATGTTTGCAAGCGTGCATACACAGTGGCGGGTTAACGAACGAGGAGATAAAGCAAGGATCGACGAACGGTGCCATTAACATGCGGTCTTTTCGCTGTTTTACGTTCTTTATTCGTCAAACAACTCTTCTGCAAAAAATGTGAGAAATCGGAATAAAATAAATGGGTTTTTTCGCAATCCGATTTCACTGATCTGCGAATCGGATTCGCAATCTTTGGAAATCTATACTGGGAGTATTTTTCGGCATTTTCAGACGTTTTATACAACTCGTTTGAAAGAGTATTCGCCAATTTTCGAAGTTTTGCAGACTTTGCTGATCGAACACTCGTTTACCTGCATTTTCGAAAGTTATTAAACGCCACAGCTTGCGTAAAGACCGATGGTCGTCGATCGATTAAAACAAATGGGGTATTTCGAGTTGAAAGTATTAAATATTATAGCGAAGAAAAAGTTGAACGACCCTCCCCGACAACAATTTTACGACTTCGTTATCTCTCGAACCGAAGTTACTCGTGCTTTCATGTATCTGCCTGTATGCAAATGGGTCTATTTATGGAGTCGAAAGCACGTTCTATTTGGTTGCAACGGGAAAAAATGTGATAGCCGGGTTCAACAGGTTCGCGAATCGAGGTACTTATTTTTGTCATTTCTCGTTACTTTTTGTTATCCTTTTGTTTGCGGATTGGGACGCTGCAAGCAAGTTAATGGGACGCGAGGAAATTTCGTGATTCTGTGATAGTTCATCTACCTGTTGGGCATGAAATTTATGTAAATTTGAGTCGAGGTAATTTTAAGTCATACTAACCATTTAACGAGCATCGAAGTTGGCTGTAAAATATAAATCGTTTTTGTATTCGTTGAATTAAAAATTTCCAACTTGACTCAGAGTCTAGTAATTCAACGCGAAGCCTAAGAAAAATCCTCTAAATCGTGCATTCTTCAAATGAACAATTTCAGCAGTCAATTTCTGTCATTAATCAATCAGTGAACGTGAAAAATAACGAATTCCAAGTCTGTAGATCGCTTCTCATTAACACCTACATACTTCTGTACGTCTTTCGACTCGTAAGCGTATGAAAATGAGGAATCGCAGATCTCTCGGCTATCGACAGTACTACTCGAGATTAATCATCGGATTACGTGCACCAGCCGTGTATCAGCCGACGCACAAATGTCAATGATTTCTAATCGACTGCGTCGTCGATCGCGCGAACGATCGGTAATACGTAACACTTTCTCGACGCGTTGAGTGCTTGTGAACGCGATTCAGAAGACAGTTCTAACGCGAAGACAGCTCATTGACAACCGGTTTGAATCGCTGCTGACGTTTTATTACCGAATCGACGAAAAAAGACCGTCAGTTTTTGATACGACGAGTGACGATCGTATTAAAAATAGGCGAAGGAAAAGAAAATTCGAGGCTGCTCGACTCTCTGGCTTTGAGCGAAATAAAAAAAGACATTCCTATTCATTCGACCTTGCTTCATTAATATAGCAAAGTCGATAATGTCATGTTATGATATCAGAAAAAATTATAGATATACTCGTGTCTGCGAAAATCGTATTTCTGTCGAGAGTTGCTATATTGGTCAGTGGGTAAGCTATGAAAGCGTTAGAAGCATCGTCACCTCAACAGGTTCATCGAAGATGTAATTAGTTAGCAACGATTAGCATTCACGTGTAAAAGATCCGTGTACACGTTATTTACATAGTCCGCATGATTAAAATCCATTGATACAAGAATATGTTCGAAATAAAAGTGTGTGTAATAGGATATGCAAGTCTCGCAAATTTACATCCTCGTGTTAAAATAAATCTTTTGCAAAAGACAAGAATATCGAAAATAAACTGAAAGGAAGGATTCTACATAAATCTTTACGCAAATATAAATACAAGCTACTTTCAGATATTCTAATTCTTCTTTTAAATAAAATATTCCATTATATATATAAATAAAAATTAAATTTTATTTTGATTTATTATATTTAATTCGTAAATCAGCATGCGAGCTTAATGGCAACTAAAAGATATATTATATTTAAGTATTGAATTAATATAAAGTTAAACGCACACACAATTTTATTCATAAAGTTCCAATTTCTTTAAAAGTTCGACGGGAAAATTGATTTGCCGTGTCACTACTATCAAATTGGCATTACTATTTGAATAATTCGATGACTGAAACGTAGATTGGATAAGGCAAGGAAGGAGTTTCGTAGACCAGTAGATCTACCCAGCGAATGATGCTCGTGGGTATCCAGGCAAGTCTAGCCGCGAAATTTTATTACGCGCAAACGACATTGGTACTCGTTCGGTGGTGACATCACATCCCTGCTTCTGCCAGCGAGTTTATTTGTAGCGAATCGCGTCGTCGCGTCATTCTAAATCCTTCGTTTACGCGCGATCGCCGCTCTCTTACAGAAAAGTTCTACCAGTGCCGCCCACGTTCCCGCTCTTTTTCTTCCTCCAAGTTCAAGCGTTACACCGTCTTCGTCCTCGCAGATTGAGTTTCAAAGGGGAGAGGTCTTCAAAATCGGGTATTTTTCTCGCAGCCCCAAGAAACAAGAATTACGTTTCTTCGTTTCGCGATTTTAACTTACGATTTTTGATTTACGAAGTCCGCGTGTCCTCGTATCATATTCTCACCACGAAGTTTGCGAAATAGATTCCGCTTAGTATGCTTTTGTCGATCATCTATTAGGTCACTTTCTACTATCGTGCTCTGTGATCGCGATCATTTTCAGATTTCCTATGAAAAATTTAACACGTAAATAACTAAAATTTAGTAACTACCATACATCTTTAATCATGCCTGCATGATAAGTACAGCGTAGTTGTACGATTGAATTGAATAAAACAATGGCTATAGTTAATGCATGATTATTATCGTGTATTAAAGTTCGTGCAAATAGAAGCAAAGGTTAGATCTACCGATGCATTATAATGTTCGAAAAGTATCTCGCGGTCAAAGACAGTGATGCAAAAGTATTTACGACGCTGCCTCTCGTGCTTATTAACTGAGTTCAGTAGCACCCTAATTACGTTTACGGTGCACGCCCGTAATTGTGCTTTATCTTTCTCGCCTTGAAATTAGACAGAACGATTCCTTCATTAAAATTGCGAATTCCGTTGTACCAGAAATTGAAGAACCGCCAGGCGCCGTTACATTTCAGTCGTCATTAGTAATGTTTCTTGAAAAAAAAAGAGAAGAGGGCAATAAAAAGAGTAACTGTGCAATTTTCTATGTAAGTTCTAGTGTTCATAACTTGTACAATTCTTCTCTTATATTTCTTCTTTTAATATTAATAAAATTCTCGCAGTTTCGAAAAGTACACAATTCTTTTTGAATTGGCTGGATGGAAATCTAATTACATATATTTAATTATTTTCGGTATAACACTTTGATCATTATTGTCTATGCGTATGCAATATTTACAATTATGCATATTGCGATTTGATAGTTCTAGAATGAAACGAATTTATAAATTTTCGCGATATTTTTGACAAAAAAGGAAAGAGAGGGAGGAAAATACTTCAGTATTCAAAGCAACATTCGATTTCGATCCTCGTTCCATTCTCAAGCAGCGAAAGCTACGAAACTTTGTTACATCAGCATCGTCTTATCGAAATACGGACTGTCAAAATATTTTCACACTCGTGGAATTCCTCACAGGGAACAATGTCGTAAGTTGGAAACTGATAGTTTACGGTGAAGAGGGAGTAAATCATGAGGCGCCATTGGCGAAGAAGCAGAAGGAATGAAAGCGACGATGGATTTCCGGAGCGGCCGGGGATGCTTCTAAATCTAAATGTGAGCTCGCGGCAAAATCGTGGAGAGAAAGAGGAGAGAAAGAGGAGAGAGGGTTAACCCCTTCTGGAAGGAGGAACGGGGAAAAGGAGGAAGAAAGGTGGCGTAGAAACTAGAGAGATCGGTGCTGGGTTCGTCGACCCGGCAGTTGGGCCACAGAAAGACGAGATATGCTTCCATTTTCATCTTTGGCAGCCTGCCAAAGTTTCGTCTGGACCGATCTCATCTTCTCCTACTGCCATCCGTC